GACAGCGACCTCACCTGAAAGGGCTGACAGTGTTTATTTAAGGATTAAGTCTGGCTCATTGAACCTGTCCCTGATGTGTGAAGCTTCATGTGTATTAGTGACAGTTCAGCATCCCTTTCCCTGCTCAGCATCCCTCTCCCTGCAGCTCAGCATCTCTGGGAGAGCAGCTGTTCATCTCCCTTCCAACATGCCTTTGCTTTTCCCACACCATCAGACCATGGGGCAGTGTTTGAGAGCTCCCTGTGTGGATCACTTCAAGTGAATGTGGCATTTCTCAGCCAAACCTTCAGTGCTGCACAAGCTCTGTGGGTCTCACCAGAGACAAATGAAAAGCATGAGTTTAAAATCAAAGAAGTTACTATTTTGTAGGGGGGAAAAAAACCAGAGATTTTTGCCAAGGAAAGGAAGAAGTGCCAGAGCTTCTGGGAATTGAGCTATGACTTCAGTATCACTGTGGCTGTCCCTAGAGGAGTTGCAGATATGATTGATAGACTGGGGGAAAAAGATAAACAGATATTTAGCTACTCTTTTAGCAAAACATTGTTATGTTGCTAGAATTTGGGTGGGATTCAGGTGTTGCTCAGATGTCCTGTCCAAGGAGCAGAGGGGCAGGGGTTGGGCAGACTGGAGGGTGTCATGCTGCCTTCACACCACCCAGCAGGAGCTGAGCTCAGTGTCTCCAATGCTGATTTGGGGCTGGTTTTGCCCCAAATCACAGATGTCTTTAAATCCTTCCCTCTGCAGAAAGCCCCTGGGTGCTCTCTGGGCACTGCAGAGCTCTGTGCACATCTGACAGCCTGAGAGTAGCTGGAAGTTCCCCATCCTCCACCTGTCTGCTCTATCTTTTAGGACTGGTGCTACACTGTGCCCTGGCACTGGGGACAGGGTGATGGGAGAGGGGAAACACAGCAGGACCAGGTTATTTTGTGTGCAGACTCTGTTCCTCATGCTGCTTTTCTTTCTCATTGTCAGGAAATAGTGGATTGGTTCAATGCCATCCGAGCAGCACGTTTCCATTACTTACAAGTGGCATTCCCTGGAGCCAGTGATGTTGATGTGAGTGTTCCTGCAGTTTTGGTTGAGTTCTTTTTATTCCCTCTTGCTCATTTTTAGCATCTTGTTAACAAGCTGGAAGGCTTGGGGAGTGCTCCATCTTTGGAGCATGGTACAATTACCAGGCTGAAATTACTGTGGTGGGATGTGGAGCCCACATCCAGCACCTGTTCCCAACATCCAGCCTTGGAAACATGTGCACACACACACACATTCACCCTCACAGCCTGAGTCCTGTGTGAGTGGCTCCAGCACTGCCATGTGTGTAGAAGCCAGAAGCATCTTTCTCTGTTGCTCTAATACCAACAAGCTGCAACAAAGGCTGGAAGGGAGAAAAGATGAAGCAATAAGGATGTCAGTGCTATAGCCAAGCCTCTGGAGGAGTTTTTGCATGCAGGTCAACCCGGGTTATGAATCTCTGTCTGTGTTTTCCGGGTGCTGAGCTGCTAATTGTGTTACCCTTTGCTAATGCCATACCAGAGGCCTCACTGCAGTCAGGGCTGTGTGTTGTAGCTGGTGTGCAATGTCACTGGTGGTAGTGGTGGTTGATTGCTCCCTGCTGCCTCCTTGAGGGTATGTTTTGAAGTCTAATTGCATACCCTGCCTTCTACTAATTACCTGGGAGAGGTCCAGTCATGGGCTGGGCTGGCTTTGAGCTGCCCCTGCACCCCAAGGACCTTGGGGACTTCTCCTGGTTGTGCTGGTGAAGTGCTCAAAGCTGCTTCATGGTTCTGCACCCACCTTTCCTGGGCACTGTGGAGGAGCAGGACTGAAGCACTCAGCCAGTGTGGGCTCAGGGCTGGGGGCAAGCTCAGCATGGGCTTTCCTTGCAGTGACCCCCCAAGCCCTGCCCAGCACACCCAGTGATCCCCCAGCCTCCTCCATCTGATGCTGCTCTCTTTTCTCTCCTCTGGTTGCTCCAGCTGGTGCCAAAGCTTTCTAGAAACTACCTGAAGGAAGGGTACATGGAGAAAACGGGGCCAAAGGTAGGATATGAAATGTTTCTCCTTATCTCCAAACATGACTCTTGCTCTGTATGGGGCTGAGAAGGGGTTGCTGGTGGGACAAACTCACCCTAGCCAGAGAGGCAAACTTATAACTCTGTGAGTGCATTAATACACTTTCCTCAGCTGGGTGCAAACATTATAAGTTCCAAATCCACAAACTCACTGCCCCTTCCTACAAGCCCACCTGGTGCAGCTGGCCCAGAGCCTGGCTGTGGTGGCTCCTGATGGCCCAGAAACCATCTGCTCCTGACTCCCCCAGCCCACTGGGCTCCTCCAAGTGCCTTGACACTCCTGGGTCATGCCTGGTAAGAGAGAAGCTGTGCTGCTCTGGTGTGTAATCCATCATTTTGTGACTCTTCAGCAAACAGAGGGATTCAAGAAGCGATGGTTCACCATGGATGACCGACGGCTCATGTATTTCAAAGATCCCCTGGTAAGATCATAGAATCATGGAATTTTAGGGGTTGGAATGGAGCTTAGGGATCATCCAGTCCCAACCCCCTGCCCTGGGCAGGGACACCTCCCACCAGAGCAGGTTGCTCAAGGCTTTAGCCAACCTGGCTGTGAACACTGCCAGGGTTGGGGCAGCCACAGCCTCCCTGGGCAACCTGGGACAGTGTCTCACCACCCTCACAAGAAAAACTTCTTCCAAATATCCAATCTAAATTTCCAATCTTTCAATTTCTCCCTGTTGTTACTTGTCCTGACACTGCACAGGGAAAGACTTTTGAAGGTATTTGGGCTGCCTGTTGGGGATTATCTGCACTAATACTAATAGTAATAATATTAGCAATCATCTACAGTGAACCGAAGGCTCGTGGGAGAGCCAGGAGGGCATGGAGCTGTCACTGCCTGGTGTCCAGTGTGCAGTAGCCCTGTGCATTCTCACCAAGAATCCTTTGGCTGCTCCGTGCACCAGCTGCAGGTTTTTCTGCATGTGGATTTTGGCTCCCTGGTGTTGGTGCTGTACTGTGGGTGCCCCTGGAGGAGGAGCAGGGGTTCCTGGGGTGGCTGGTGCTGTTGGGGTTCTGCTGGTGCAGGTTGAGCCGTGTCCTGGCTGCCCAGGACACAGAGCTCCCTTTCCAGTCACACCTGCCTGACTGCTCTGCTGTTTCCTAGGATGCCTTTGCTAGAGGGGAAGTTTTTATTGGGAGCAAGGAAAACAGCTACAAGGTGCTGGAAGGGCTCCCACCGTCCACGCAGGGAAACCACTGGCAGCATGGAATCACTATTGTCACTCCAGATCGGAAATTCCTCTTTGCCTGTGAGACAGAGGATGACCAGCTGGAGTGGATCACCACCTTTCAGAAGGTTATAAGCCGGCCAATGCTGCCTCAGGAATATGCAGGTGTGTTTCCTGGTGTGGTTCAGCCTTGGCTCTGCTGTTTCCCGTGTGCTGGAGGATGAGATGGCTGGAGGGGGATTAGGGATGCAGGGACATTGCTCCCTCCTGAGTGATGTGAGCTGATCAGCCCATGATTTCATGTAAACTGCACACACATAGTTATGTGTAGTGTTTTGGGGGATTATTTTGTATATGTGTGTGTTATATAGTGTATAGAGTCACAGAATCATCAGCTGATTCACTGCCTAAGGGAATGCAAAGGCTGTCTAAGAACTTGGAGAGGGACTCCAAGTGGAAGGAGGAGGATGGTATCCTTCCCTCTTCATTGCCTCTGGTGTGATGCTCATGGTACTGTAAGGATTACAGATTCAGTTAGGTTGGAAGGGACCACAGTGGGTCACCTGGTCCCACCTCCCTGCTCAAGTAGGGCCACCACATGGCTCAGGATTGCATCCTAGTGGTTCTTGAATACCATCAGTGAGGGAGAATCCACGACCTCTCTGAGCAATCTGTTCAGTGCTCAGTGACTGCACGGGAAAGAAGTTCTTCCTCATATTCAGGTGGAACTTCCTGGGCATCAGTTTTTGCTGTTACCTCTTATTTTATTGGTTTCCAATAAGTGTGAAGAGTTTGGCTCCATCCTCTTGGCACTTCCCAATTCATGTACTTGAATACATCAGTGAGGTCCCTCTCAGTGTCTCTCCTTGAGGTTGAACATCCCCAACTCCCTCAGCCTTTCCTGGTTTATGCCAGACTGTTGCCACCTGCCAGTGCTTACCCTGCTTGTAACTGTGTTTTTCTCTGTTTTTCCCTTCCAGTGGAAGCCCATTTCAAACATAAACCTTAGCTGGGACTGGCGGGGCAGACCTGAGGAGTGAGCTTCTGTTTACAACACAACGTGGTTTTATTTGAAATGTTAAAAATAATTAATGATAATAATAACAGTAATAATAATAATAATACTTCCCTTTCCCCTCATCATTCACTTGATCATGTTGGAAACCAAGAAGGGCAGCGGTGGAATATCAAAGATGCTGATCCAACTTGAAATTCAGCTCTGTAGCTGCTCCACGGGATGGGACATGTAGTCCTGCCACCCCATCACACCTGCTGGAAGGGGCATTCCACCTGGCTTCAGTGGGATGGAGAAGACTGCTGGTGGCACATTCCAGGGGGAGATGGGGCTTTTCCCCATGAACTGGTTCCTGGGGACTGGAGCTGAGCATCCCCACAGCCCTTGCTGGTGCCAGCTCTTTCCGGGGGTTGCGAGTCCCCGAGCAGTGACTTCCTCGTGGGATGGGAAGTACCAGCCTGGAAACACCCAAAATGATGATGTGCAAAGTGGCTGAGCCTCCTGATGGCATCAGGGTGAATGATAAGTAAATTATCCACCTGGGCAGTGGTGGTGGTGCTGTACCTAGATGGGGTCAAATGGGATTTAGAAATAGAGGAAATGAGCAGCATCAGCCTCGTTGGTGCTTAATGAAGGAGAGGGAGTGCTTGGTGGGGACAGCCCTGCAAAGGGGACACTGACCCATGAGGGGATGCTGGGGAAGCAGAGATTGGGGGGGCCAGGCCTGTGCTCTGCCCCCGGGTCACTCCTGTTTCGTGGTTTGGGGGGGCTTTGCACCATTTTGGAGTTGGGAGGGTTGAGCTTTAGGTGCTTCTGCTGACAGGCACCACCAAAGCCTCTTCTAGCCCACCCCACAGGCACATCCCTTCTCCAGTCTTGGTGGTTGCACTTTTTTTTCCCCAATCATTCTCTCAATTTATTTTTTGGTTGATTCCCTTTTCCTCCTGCCAAAAAACAAAGCTGCTTGAAGTGACGTTTCAGCGCGGTGTTGAGCACTGTAACTCCTGCGGTCGGGGCAGGCAGGTGGGCTGGGACCTGCACACCAGGTGCTGGATTTTTAACCCAAAACTGCAATTTCTGGCGTCCCCTGAAGGACCAGCCCCAGACATGGACCTGTCTGACACATTTCTTAGGTTGATGTGTGTATCTGAGAGCATCTCATCGGCTGTGTGCATTCGTTCTGTCACTGGTAAGACAACTGTGGTACTAAATGTCATTCAAACCAATAAATTATTATTATGTCAGAGCTGTGGCTGTGTGGTGCTGGGGCAGGGGAGGGAGTGGGGGATGAAAAACGGCCAATTCAGACAAGTAGGTGCCAGTGCTGGCAGTGCCCTGGGGGTGTGGGACACCCACAGAACCATCTGTCCACCCTGGGCTGCTCAGTGTGCTGGTGGTGAGGGAGAAGCTGCACATGTGTGCATCAGGTGAATGTATTTCATGTAAACTGCACACACATAGTTATGTGTAATGTTTTGGGGATTATTTTTGTATATGTGTGTGTTATATAGTGTATAGAGTCACAGAATCATCAAGGTTGGAAGAGACCTCTAAGATCAGCAAGTCCAACCATTGACCTGTCACTGCTGTACACCGAAACCCTAAAACCAGATCCTCCAGTGCCAGATCCAGATGCCTCTTAAACTCTTCCAGGGATGGTGACTCCACCACCTCCCCAGGCAAAAAGAGGGGAGTGCACAGCAGCCCTTTTGCTGGACACCTGCTGGCTCTGATGGGGCAGGGAATGGATCCTCATAGATCCTCATGGATCCATCAGGGTTGGAGGAGACCTCTAAGTTCATCAAGTCCAACCATTAACCTGTCACTGCTGGAACTCCTAAACCATATCCTCCAGTGTGTATTGTATCTATATTCTCTATAATTTTGATTATATATGCACACACATACACAAAGGAGAGATACTTCTGAGGAAATACAGAAAGAAATGCTATGAAAGCATATTTGACTCCTCACAGACACAACTATGAACTGCACAGTGTGTATGAACATGTGTGTATGAACTGTTCATGTGCACATGTGCATGTAGATATGTAGCACTCACACACATTTAGCTTACAAATACAGAAGCTAAATGTATTTCATACACCTGTGTAAGTATAGACACATAACTGCAATGTTATAGGTAATTATACACATGTGCATGCTTTTTATATGGGTATAAAGTATAGAATCTATAGATTTAAGAGGAATATATTGCATATAAATACTCATAGAATCATAGAATTTAGGGGTTGGAATGGAACTTAGGGATCATCCAGTCCCAACCCCCTGCCCTGGGCAGGGACACCTCCCACCAGAGCAGGTTGCTCAAGGCTTTAGCCAACCTGGCTGTGAACACTGCCAGGGTTGGGGCAGCCACAGCCTCCCTGGGCAACCTGGGACAGTGTCTCACCACCCTCACAGGGAAAACTTCTGCCTAATATCCAATCTAAATTTCTCCTCTTTCAATTTTTACCCATTACTCCTTGTCCTGTCACTGCAGTTCCTAACACAGAGTCCCTCTCTGGCTCCTTGTAGGCCCTACAGATATTGAAAAGTTGCTCTGAGGTCTCCGCACAGTCTTCTCTTCTCCAGGCTGAAGAGCCTCAACTCCCTCAGCCTGTCCTCACAGGGAGATGCTCCAGTCCTCTTAGCAACTTTGTGGCCTCCTCTGGCCGTGCTCCAACAGTTCCATGTCCTTCTTATGTTGAGGACACCAGAACTGTGCAGTATTCCAGGTGGGTCTCATGAGAGCATAATGCACATGTCTGCATAACTATTTATTCAATTTATATTGACAGTATTTAAATTTATAAATTATTCCATAATTTAATCACTATTTAATTCAATATCTGTAATTATTTATTAACCTGGTCCAGTGGAAGTTGTCCCTG